GGTGGAGGGAGCGGGTGGGGCGGATTCGGAGGGATTATGTGGCGAGTTGTTTTGCGCGGATGGGGAAGATTGTGCCGGCTTATGGGGTGGGTGGGGTGGTGAATGTGAGGATGAGGGAGGTGCTTATGCGGGGATTATCATCTTGAATCGTGATGCTCTGGGGAGGGGATATGGTATGTCATGATTATATTTTGTGCATTGGCGTTGGCGTTGGTTGAAATAGATCTCCTTCTGCATTACGGTATAGTATCGATGTCTGGCTGTCAGGGTATACAGCTTTGATGATGATTGGTTTCTCGTCTCAGTTAGATTAGATATTAGAGCTAATCGTGCTTCCCTACGCTCCCATGCACAACAGTTGATCACCACCTGGACCCGTTAGCATACTCCCTAAGATGTCAGCAGGTACTTACGAAAAAGGCTCCAAGTGCAGGTACACCTCCTCCGCCCCATTCCCCAGCACCGTCCGCTGCGCCTGCGCAGCCGCGTTCCGCACGTCATGCAGCATGCTCGCCGGACCGCAGACGAATATGCCGACACGCTTGTTGCATGCGGAAGTACCGGCCGCAATGAGGTCGGGCAGGTTCGGACGGGCGCCGTGGGTTGTGGCGACATGCGTGCTGGTGACGGTCGGTTCGGTGGAGGGGAGTTTGCTCTCGTTCCCGTCTGCGAGCTGCTGCTCCTGCTCCTGCTCCTGCTGCTTAGACGCCGTATTGGAGGTAACGTAGACCGAGGCGGAGACGTCTCTGCCGGAGACATTGGAAGTGGCGATCCTGGTTTCGATCTCCTCCGCATACCAATCCGCCATGGTCTGGTCGCGCGTTGCAAAGATAATCTGCAGAGCCGGGGTCGAGGCCTTGAGCACCTCGTCCACGATACCCAGCGAGAACCCGCCCCCTGAACCGCCCGAGATGACGAGGACGGAGTCGAATCTCGCGAGGTCGCTGGAGGCGGATACGCCGCCGTATGGGCCCTCGAGCAGCACGGTCCTCTCGGTACCGGGGCTCCGCGCGGCGAGGCTGGCCAGCCGGGCTGTGATGCCTCCGCGGGGCTTGATGTAGAAGACCAGTTCGTTGGGTTTGGCGAGGGAGGCTGCGTCGTGCGCGATGGAGGTGATGGTGAAGGGGTGGGCGGTCAGAGAGTGCAGGCCTAGCTGGGATGGGTTTAGGAAGAGGAGGAAGAGGTGTTGGCCTGGAGCCCAGGTTATGAATGTGGGGATTTTGATGCGGACAAGGCCGCACGGGAGCACGTCGAGGGTGGCTTTGTGGAGGCCGTGGAGGAGGGTGGTGCGGATGTATGCGGCGCAGAGACTGAAGAAGTAGAGGGCGCCCGCGGCGATGAAGTAGTCCCTGAGCAGGTTAGCGTTGGCTGTCCGTCAAGTGGACGGGAGGCAATATCTACCAGGATGTGAGACGAAAGTCGCAGTGGAAGAAGAAGAAGAGAACGAAGAGAAGTGCCACCAGGACGTGCGTCGCTTTGAAGAACTCGTAGTATCGGTTGCTACGGAATCAGAGGTTAGGGCTCGTCTGAGACAAAGGGAGTGCCACACTCACCGGATAATTGGCAAGGACATGATGGTCAGATATGCCTGTGGGATCAGCGCCGCTACTCCAGTCCAGTAGGTGAGCGACGTCTTCCACTGGTAGACCATATCGCCTTTGTCGATGTGGACGATGATGAAGGGGAAGGTGTGGATCAATGCCAGGACGAACATGGCGTAGCTGGCCCAGTGGTGGAAGACCTATTTCGTCAGCGGACCTACCCCTCGTCAACGGCCTGAAACTATACCTGAAGCTTTTCATGCGGTACACCTGTCAACATCGAGATAAGATTTGCTTTTGTCCCCAGTACCCTACACACATCAGTTTAGAGTCCCGGCCGACAGGGCGTGTACTCACAGCACAAAAGGAAGAAGAGCCAACGCCATCCACCCCGTTCTCGTCGCGATGGGCGGACTTGATCCATAGGAAACCGTAGCCGTGTTAGGCCAGTAGTATGGCTTCGGACCAAGGGTCATTGCTATCGTACAATGTCAGCGCTGGAAGTCGACCTGGTAGAGACACCAACCAAAGAAGAAGACAAATCCCACCAGCCCAAGGAGCATCACACCCAGGGACGGTGACCAGTACCGCAAGGACGGTATCTGATATCCTTGATAGGAGAGATAGCGCATGGCAGCAGTCGCCTTCCGCCAGATGGCACTGCGCTTCACAGGCAGAGGAGCACGCCGGGAGAGGAAATGTGTTATGGCGAAGACTCCGATGGTCGCACACATGAAGTAGACGGTGTTCAAGGCGTAGACATGATCCGCTTGGTACCTGTTTGAATGTGTCATTAGAGTCGAAGGGAAACGGCGACAGAAGGGCAGAATACCAGTATCGCCAGTGACCGTGACGGTAAGCGCACTGCTCCGGACTCAATTTGCAGGTGTCTTTTCTGGAAGAATGAAGCATCACCGGCTGGTCCAGCCATGGGAGGCCAGAGCCTGCGTCTGCGGACATGTCCATCATCTTGTGGGTAGTCAAACAGTCAGGTCACGCAGTGGTTGTACCTCGATCCGTGTCAGTTGAGATGGAGATGATCTTTTGACTTCAGCAGAGGAGGAGGAAGAACAGAAAGTCTGCGAGATGGTAACGTAACGATGGTGCAACCTGCCAGGACTGAGTGGTTAGACAAGCGAGGGTAACGCCAACGTTTCACCGGGGATTATTATTCCTACTATTCTACACTAAGGGACCTTATACTACGGAGAATAATATACTATATGCTTTCGTCAGATACCTTAATAGCTGCATGCCTTGGGTTGCAAATCCTGGTCGCTGATTGGTCCAGACATGCTCACAATTGAGCACATTTCCAGCCTGTTAGCTTCGAGGGTGGACCATCTTTCCTTTTTTTTCTTCAGATAATAATAATAATAATAATAATAATAATAATTAATCTAGAGAGATAATTCTTCTTATTTAAACCTGTGATTTAGCCTGATGAGCAGATTTGCGCGGAATCCGTGCGTGGGTTGCAAGTTTCAACCTTAACTTTAGGCAAGGGAAAATAGAAAATGGAAAATGGAAAATGGAAAATGGAAAAGCATGATGGCATAGTCTCATATTCAACTGGTCATACGTCCGCAAGGTACCAGCACAAATGGCACATATACATCAACCCACCAGATGAGCTTGCAAAGGAACACTCTCAACAGAAATAGGCGACTTTGTTGTGCTCACTTCATTCTCTCCCCACAGCCCATGATCCCTCAGAGCTTGATACCCTCCTCTCAGACTATCGGCCTCAATCCCCTTAGCTCGCAGAACGCTGGTGGCCACCCGGGCAGTATCACCATGGTAGCAAATGACCAGAACGTGGTGGCCACGGAGCTTGCTCAGAGCCTCTTTGGCTTTGAAAAGGGTCTCGAGCTCTAACCATTGTGCTTCCAGCACGCGAGGGTCCGCGAATGGCTTTGGAGTGTGCGAGTCCAGGCTGCGGAGGGGAATGTTGACTGATCCAGGCAGATGCCAGGTCGAGTAATCCGCCGCCGTTCTCAGATCGAGAACGCAGCAAGGTGGTCTGAGCACCAGGGTGCGCAAAAGACTGTCGGGGAGCGAGCGGGGAGTCTCGTAGAAGTGGGTGAAGAGGACGATGGGGCTTCGTTCCCAGCTCTCGTCGTAGCGGTAGACGTCGACCCGGCTGAGATTCTGCAGGAGGAAGCTTAGTTTTGTGGTGTGTCAATCAGAGGATACGCAGTGACTTACCTCGTTCCTGATGGGATGGAACTTCTCCGCCCCCAATTTGGTGAAGTATTCGCCGATGTACTGGTAGGGCAGGTCGCAGCAGATAAAGACACAATGGACCAAGCCATCAGGCCCTGCTAGCTCGGCCAGCGTCCCGGCCTGCTTGCGTTTCTCCAACAGCTGGAATAACCCCTGTAGATTGAATCCCGACGACGGACCACAGACGATCCCCTCCCTGCACAGTTCCAGCGACAACGAGAAGGAATCGTACGAATTGACTTCCTCAATGGCATCGACCGCCTCCTTCCAAGGAAACTCGACCGGCTTCAGGAGCGCCAACGACCGCGGACCCGGCACTCGGTCCCCAGGCGCCGTGCACACCCCCAACCGCAGCACAGACGGCTTGTTTTCCTTGAAAAACGTCCCCAGCCCGGTCATGGTGCCCGACGTCCCCATCCCGGCGCAGAGCACGTTGATCTCGGGAAGCTGCCTGAGAATCTGCGGGCCCGTCCAGCGCACATGCGAGCCCCAGTTATCAGGATTCTCGTACTGGTTGGGGTTGAGGACCTCGTCGGACTGCACGCCCATCTTCCGGGCACTCTGGATCCCGCCGCGATCGTCAAACGGTTCAGGCTGGCTGGGCCCGCCGAACAGGGTGATATCCAGGCCGAAAAACTGCATCAGTTTCAGCTTTGCGTCGCTGGTCTTGTTGCTTAGGAAGGCCCGCGTGTCGTGGATGCCGTGCATGACGCGGGCGATCATCGACATGGAGATCACCGTCGACCCGGAACTATACTCGATGATGGTCTTGGTTTTGCCGGGGACGACTTTCTTCTGGAGCATGTTCAATGCTGATTGCGGTTAGTCGGCAACTATCATGGTCTTGGTGGTGACGCTTACCAGGCATTGCCTTGACATTGTTGGCGGGATGCATCGACATCATTTTGGCGTAGATGCGCACGCCATCCTGATGGTAGGGATTCAGGTACTCGGGGACTTCCACCAGGGGTAGAGGAGGCTGGCAATCGGGGTCAAAGTATTTCCTGAGGGCATCGGGCCCCAGGTACACGTTCAGCTCGTTTGCAGCCATCCTTGCTGCTACTGAAATCTAGGAATGTGGACGCTAAAAAGAGCACAGGGACGAAGAGCGTCCGGCTTTATACCACGGTACTTCCCAACCACAGGCACAGGGACCTCTTCTGCCAGGGACAAAATGCAGTGTACCTGACAGGCAGAATGGCCCACCAGCCGAGGATGCATCTGTGCGGGCAGAAGGAGCAGGTTCCATCTGAGCATATTCTGCTCTCTGCAATGAGCTATTTCCCGAATGAGCTATTTCCTGAAACACAACGCTGATCTCTGCAAGATCGTCTCCCAGGGTCATGCCCAGACTACCTTGGAGGGTGATGTTCGCCTACAATTACCGGGTGGAGCGCGAGTAGCCCGCAGACTGTGGGTGATGGACTTGAGAAGGAGTACCTGGAGGCCGTAGATGCAAGATCGACAGGGCATCGATACCCAATTGAGATTCCATTACACTATTCAATGTCAACATGAGGTTTGTTGGGATCTTCTTTAGTGTAGACTGTAGAGTACCCTCTATGAGTCTTGGCTGGCACCCAAGGTCCTGAAGAATTTGTGTAGCAATTACCTCCAATGAACGCGATCAATTATCCCGTGCACGGTGTTCTGCAGCTCATTTAATCCACTCTCAATTTAAAGTAATTATTTAGAGTCTGCATGGGGACCTTGGTGAGTGTTTTTGCGCACATTTCCCTGGTTTAGTGCGAGATGGCGTCTGGCCGCTGCAGATCGTGCGCCAACCCTCTCACTATCAATCCCATCAGTTGCATTTTCTCACGAAATGAAATGACTCACGGGTAATCGGAGAATAATCAGAATCTTCGGCTCTGCATGTATGAGTCTGATCATCATCACCATCGTGCTGCATTCCAACTTAAATTCCCGCTTGTAGACATCAAGATCAGCTTCCTGGTTGATTGGAAAAGCATAGCACAATGCCAGATACAGTTCTCAGTCCTCAACCACAGGAAGCGATCTCTCCAAGCTCTGAGACAGTGGTAGAGGTGACAGGAGACGCAGAGACCAAGGGAGCAGGGCAACATGTCTTCAACGAGCAGACAAACTATGTCCCCAGGAGTACCATCATCACAGTGAGTTAGCACCGACAATCCCAGGTTCAAGACTGAGATAGGCAGATATTCCTCGCATGCTCGACGGTCGACCTCGTCGCCTTGATGGACCAGACGACCCTCGCGGCCAGTTTGTCCATCGTCGGCAACGCCCTGAACGCCAGCGACCAGACGTCCTGGATATCCGGCGCCTATTTCGTGTACGTCGGAAATCATCACTTCATGGAAGTCCTTGCTAACAACCGTCAGTACATCCACCTCCTGCCAACTCCTCTATGGCCGCCTCTCCGACATCTGGTCCCGCAAATACATCCTCTTCACCGGCCTCGCCATCTTCTTCTTCGGCTCGCTGGCCGCCTCCCTCGCCCAGACAGCCACCCAACTCATCATCTTCCGCGCCTTCACCGGCGTCGGCGGCGGCGGCCTCATGACCGTCGCCCAGATGATCGTCAGCGACGTGGTCCCGCTGCGCGAAAGGGGTAAATACCAGGGTATCCTGGGCGCGGTGGTCGCGATCGCGAACGGCATCGGCCCCGTGATCGGAGGCGCGCTAGCATCCGCCTCGATAGAGAATGATTCGTGGCGGTGGATATTCCGGCTGAATCTCCCGCTCACCGCGCTCACGACGCTGTGTGTGTTCTTCTTCATGCCCCTGCGCAAGGTATCCGGGGCGTGGAAGGTGAAGCTTGCGGCGGTGGATTTCGTGGGCGCGGCGCTGGCGCTCGGCGGGACGGCGGTGCTGCTGCTGGGCCTGAACTGGGGGGGAGGCGAGTACGCCTGGGCCTCGGCGCATGTGGTGGCTACCCTCGTGGTGGGCGTGGTGGTTTGCGTGGCGTTCGTGCTCTGGCAGTGGAAGGGGGCGGCGTACCCGCTCGTCCCGATGCATATCTTCCGCTCGCGGATCGTCAACGGCGCGTGTCTGACCATGTTCGTCAATGGGTGGAACTTCCTTGTGCAGGTGTACTATATCCCGACCTTCTACCAGCTTGTCTTTGGGTATTCGACCGTCAAGGCGGGCGCGATGTTGCTGCCCATCACGCTGCTGCAGAGTATGCGGAGCTCCTCCCCTTGTCTGTCGGCCTCGTACACCTGAGCTGATGACTGTTTAGCGGCCAGTAGTACCGTCTCCGGTCTCGTCGTCCACTGGATAGGCCGGTACAGAGAATGCATCCTCTTCGGCTGGATGATCTGGGCCGTCGGGCTAGGCCTTTTCTCAACGCTGGACCAGTCGTCCGGTCTGGGGAAGCAGATCGGGTATGGGATATTGACTGGGGTGGGTGTGGGCAACACCCTGCAGCCGTGCGTCTCACTTCCCCTGCAGTCCCCGTTCCTCATTTCTCCAACTAATGATCATTCACAGCGCCCTGATCGCGATCCAAGCCGGCGTCGAACGCCGCGACATGGCCGTCGTAACCTCGTTCCGAAAGTATCTCCTCCCCTTCTCCACCCCCCATGAACCAAAAGCAATAGCCAAGAAATACCGACACTGACTCCTCTCCTGCACAGCTTCGTCAGGAACCTAGGCGGAACACTAGGCCTGGCCGTCTCCGGAACAATCATGTAAGATGCCATCCCACAACCAACAACGCAACAAACAACCACTGACAGACCATGCCAGAAACAACCTCCTCTCCTCCTCGATCTCCAGTCTCGGATTCACCCCCTCCCAAACAAGATCCTTTCTGTCCAGTCCGCAGAATTATCTATCCAGTCTTTCGGCGGACGAAGCGGAGCGCGTGCGTGCCTTGGTTGTACCGGCGTATAAGCGGGGTTTCATGGTCATTTTCGTGATCGGGGGCGCATTGGCGGCATTTGCGTTCTGTTTAGCGTTCGTGCTGATGCCGCAGGTCGAGTTGAGGAGGGCGGATGATGAGAAATTGAAGGAGGAGGGCAAGAAAAGGGTGGCGGGCGTGGTCGATGAGAAGAACGCTTGCTAGATGTCCGTGTCGGTGAATTGTACTGTGTTCTTAGAGTTGATGGAGACAGGCTGAAAAGTATGTATTGGAGCAAATCCGAACTCATCCATTAATAATTCATTCCAGGGTAAGAGTAGTAAGCGTCGTGTCGTGTTCTCGTCTCGTCGTCAAATCCAAAAACAATCTGAGCGGACTTCCTTTTATGTACCCCATGCCCCCAGGTTGAACGAAACAATCCGATCCGTACACTGCCCACTTGCAGCTGCTTGATGACAACAAAGGCAGAACAAATCATATCTCATCAATAACGACCACTTGCTCCACCACCCAGTCCACCAAAGCCTGTCCTTCCAGCTTCCACTGCCCGTCATGCCACACCTCGTTCAGCCAATACGCCCACCCCTTGCCTTGGTGCAGCGGGATCATCCCCCAGGATTTCCGGTGGGTGTCTGCTGAAAAATCGTTGTTGACTTGGAGAGCCCCAACCGCAACCCCAGCGGCCGAGACGCCCTGCCGCGCGCGCCACTCACGTTCCGCTCGCTCGCCTGCTCGGCGTGCAACAGCCTCCTCGTCTTCCGCCTGGTACAGATCGCATTTGTTGCATTCTGTACATCTTGATCCCGGGTTGATGCGGAAGTGCTCGCAGAAGTGCCTGTAGCCTTCCTCCGGCTCTTCTCCGTCAAGGCCATTTCGGTCATTGTCGTGAGGATCTTGCCCAGCCGGTGCGATGTTCTCTTGGTTGAAGATTCCAGCTACAAGCCGAGGAACTCGACCTTGTCCTGCTGCCGGAAGAGATGACCCAAGGGCTTTGCGGCAGAGATAACACATGGAATATCCGCAGACGCAGGTCAATTTGTTGCAGCCGGACGATTTGACAAAGGATAAGCCGCACCGAGGACATGTGCGCTTCACCGCAGCTGTGCGCGCAGCCTCAACAGTAGCCCGAAGGTCGAGCAACAGGGGCTCATGACAAATGTGAGGATCACGCCACGGTTTCTGGCAGGTGATGCAACTGACGCGACGGCAAAGAGGATTGGCGCATGTGAATCTTTTCGGACGAATCTTCAGGCACAGATTGAGAAGCGAATTCTTGAGGATAGTCGGCACGGCCATAGGATCCAGTAGATATAGAATTATCAGAGGGATGGCGAGCAAAGGCACCATATCGAGAAGTATGACGGTCATCAGGATCGTAGACAAGAGCCCATCACGACGAAAGTGCCAAACGATCCCATTGGAAGAAGGATGGTAAACAGGATCAACCTCTGCGTAAGAGCAGAACGGACAGCGGACAAGTTTCAACTGCGACTTCAAAAGAGACTCCGAGGCCAGCCGAGTCTCGAATTTGCAGTAGGTCTCGAGTCCAGCCTTTTCCATGATTATGGCCCGCTTGACGATCTTGGGATTCAAGCTTCCCTCGCAGCTACCGTGGGCAATTGGCGCGATACACTTCAAAGTCGACCTCTCCACGTCCACCGACTTCCCCCATCCTTGTCCAAATAGAGCCTCGTGGACAGTCCTCTGTATACAGCTATAACAAATGATGTGGGAGTTGACCGAGCACGTGGAGATTTGTTCAAAAGTCACGTCGGCCAGACAGCACTCACATTCATACAGCGCCTCGACCTCCTGTGCTTCGCGCTCATTGAGCTCCTCGGCTAACTTGAAGTCTTTCTCCTCCTGTTCCTCTCGTCTTACTCGCAGCAAAGGTGCAAGCAGAGCCTCGTGTAATTCCCGGTCCAGTTCGACGCATCCAGTCTCCTTCAGCCTAGGCACCAGTTCCCCATCCGCACGCCGCTGCCATACCACCAGAGGATGCTCGTCCTTGTCCTTCTTGCGTTTGAACGAAGGAAAGATATTATTGAGCGTCGCCCGCCACGTCCGCCTCGACAGCTCCTTCAGCGTCGGCCGCGCCCGCATGTAGCAAAAGTTCGCCTCGGCCAGCACCGCCTCCACGGTACTCCTGCTCAGCCCGCTGAACTCCCTTGCTAGCACTCCCTTCACAGAAACCTTGTACTCAT